TAACTTAATGACTCTTATTCAGTTTCTACGTCTCTTAAGTTTAATAATAATTATGTAAATATTAAATATCTGCTGTAGTTTTGCACTAAAATGTCCACTTGTAGGTTGTTGGCGTGATCTCCCGGAGCAAACCTTCAAAATAAAACTAATAAAATAGAGGAATGTGATTGTTTTAATGCCACGTTCACTGACGCTTGTTTTTGCTGCAGACCTGCCCGCTTCTGCTGCGAGTGTTCACCACCAACAGTGGGCGACACCACAGAGCAGATGAATTTGCCCGTGGCAACGTTCCCTCCAGCGAGCTGCAGATATACACATGGTGAGAACATTTCCACGGTTTCTTTCCTTGTTGGGGTACACGTACAGAAATCAGGTACAGGTCTCTGATTCTGTGTGTGCTTTTCAGGATGGACGCGACTCTGAAGGAACTGACCAGCCTGGTGAAGGAAGTGTATCCAGAAGCCAGGAAAAAGGGGACTCACTTCAGCTTCTCCATTGTCTACCCCGACCCCAGAGGAAAAGTGTACAGGTTGGTATCGCACACACACGGAGCAGGCCACTATAAACCGGTGATTCGTATGCATTGTATATTAAAACGTGTCCGTCCCTCCTTTCAGGTTGAAAGATATTGGCAGTACTGTATCCGGCAGGAAGGGCACAGATGACTCCATGACACTGCAGTCTCAGCGCTTCCAGATCGGAGACTACCTGGACATAGCGATCACGCCACCCAACAGAGCCCCGCCCCTTAGCACACGCATGAGACCCTTCTGAATGTGAATACAGAAACCGACACACATCAAACTACGTTTTTTGTTGATTTTTTTTTCCCCCCTTGCATCATCTTGGATGGTTTTTGCCTCATTTTATAAAATGTGATGTGAAATAAAGTTGTCATTTTTTCCAAAGTTTCTGCTCCTCTCTGTGTTTTATATTTATAAAGAATTGAATAAATCTTTTTAGCGTATTAAACTGAATTTGCATTGTGAAAAATATAGTTTTATTAGATTTAAGGCGGTCCAAATCCCACTAACATAACAGATTTAGAGTCAGAATTCCTGATGGGGTTTCCAAAAATGTAAAAAAAAAAATATAAATATCTTGTATATTGGTAGCTAGTTAAAATAATTCATCAGTACCTTCACTTATAGTTGATGTTCAATGCTAAAATGAGTTAAATGCTTCTTAAAACTGCTGCAATGTTACATCAAAGAAATTATACAAACTGAAATCTGTGTTTTTGAGTATTTTAAGTAAAAGAAAACACCAGTAATTATTAAAATAGAAGAGGGGAAGATGATCTGACCTTCAACATGAACTGGTGGCGATGGGAGTGCGTTGATTTATTTGTATTAGACAATCACTGAACACTGTTAACTATTTACAATAAAGTGTTTAAGTGTATTTTATGTGCAAAACGAATAAAGATACTTAAAAAAAAAAACCTGCTGTGATGCTGAACTCTCCTGATCCAGGTGGTCACTTTTATTTTGATAGTTTTAACAGGAAGCTGTACGCTCGCCGGCGGCGCATGCGTAATGTCACACACTGACAGCTAGCAGAAGATACAGCCACGTTAGCCCACTGTTAGCTGAAGAAAGCGGCGATTTCCACAGAAAACACAACGCTGAGATGTTCCGGAGAAAACTGACAGCGCTGGATTATCACAACCCCGTTGCATTTGACTGCAAAGGTGAGAAAACAGCCGCTGAACGACCTCCTGAATTTGGTGGGGTTGAGTTTAACGTAGAGGCGAAGTGCTGTCACTGGAGACGACGACTGTGCCAGACTCTATTTATAAAACTGGAGTTTGAGGGTGTAACTTCGGCTGACAAAGCTGTATGTTTGTGTGAACACCAGATGACATATTTTACGACCTCTTACTATAAAACTCTTTCAATCGGCATGGTTAATTTTAATATAGTGTGCACAGCTGAAAGAAAATACTCGACTTTGCCCAATAAATCTCTCTTTGTAACTTGAAAATGAGCAACTCGGCAAGTAAAATAATATTTTATATGAACGTACTGGAAAATCAGTGATTAACATGCTACATACTCCCCAACTTATTAATGCAGTTGCCTCTTAATATACGACGGCAGATTAGTGTACGTGGCCGCTGAGATGTTGTCTTTTGTCCATTGATCAGTGTGTGTGTGTGTGTCTGTCCTCAGATGAGACACAGTTTAGGAACTGCATTGTGTGGCTGGAGGACCAGAAGATCCGGCATTATAAGATAGAGGACAGAGGGAACCTGAGGAACATCCCGAGCTCAGACTGGCCCCAAGCCTACCAGAAGGTGAGACCACCACCACGCTGCCACTTTAAAGCATCATGCAGACAGTCTGTGAAACACTGGTCCTTTAAGCTTCTAGAAAACACCACCGCAAAGCTTTTTGAATAGGACTTTGGTCTTTGCAGCTACCAGAGGACTGTAATATGATTATTGTGGCACTTTCTTACGTGATATGTGTGTCTCCTGTGTGCAGTACCTGCAGGACGTGAGCTGTCCATTCGGGGCTCAGGAGAGGCAGGAGGCTTTAGACTGGCTACTGGGCCTGGCTGTACGATATGAATATGGAGACAATGGTAGGATGTCAGCATGTGTGATCACAGCAGGGTTGATCATAATTAAAGGATATGTCTGGATACACTGACTGTTAAACATATTTTCCAGCGTGACTTCAAATGTGAGTTTAATCTGAGCTTTTTAGATAAGCCCTTGACCACAATATGTCTGTAAATACGTGTAATACATGCAGAGATATGTTGTAACACTGACGATGACCAGTAGATGGAGACATTATAAAAGGAATCATGTTTCCTTTTTGGCTGCACAATCCAGGTATTCTTGCACAGAAACTCTGCTACAAAACCTGTAAAAGAAACTACGTTAAAACACGTTTATCTTTATCTTTACATGACACATTGCTCTATAATAATAATACTTAATAATAGTGTGTTATGTGTCTCTGCTCAGTGGACAAGTATAAGAACTGCGAGCCGTTCGCAGCCTCCGGCGACAGCGCCAAAGCGGTGGACCCTCTCGTCAACCTTGACAGTAAGTACAAACACTTCTCTCCTCCTCTTGCCCTTGCACTTTGCTTTTTCACATTCTTCCCTTTCTTCTTTCCGATCTCGTCGTTCCAGGTGAGAGATGAAATCGTCATTTGTTTGTGTTTTGCAGGTAATTCTCCAGATTTCAAAGCAGGAGTGACGGCTCTGTCCAACATCCTCAAGATACAGCGACATGACGACTACCTGGTTATGCTGAAGGTGGGAGTGCATTCATACGCTCTGTTCCATTTCTTTCTTATTAACACTTTATTCTTATTTAAAGGAAATGTGTCCTGTGTTTTCATGTCTTCCTGCCAGGCCATTCGCATTCTGATCCAGGAGAGACTTTCTCCAGAGGCCATCACTAGAGCCAGCCAGAATCGAGAGGTATTGTAGACTGCTCATATTTTGATGTATGATGCGAGTTATCTTATTCTAGGTTTTTCCATAATGTAAATTACTACATTTTACACTTTTATTTAGTGCTTTTGAATGAGGAAAAGTTTCATTCCGTCTCTTTGGTTGGACTGCAGTCGCCCTCATGTGTAACATCTATATGTTCTGTGTTTCACAGGGTATTCCTGTAACTTTAGACAAACATATCTTGGGTTTCGACACTGGAGGTGAGTGCTGATTTATTTATTTTTTATTTTAAGTGCAAGTTGATGTTGAAGGGTTTGTTTGGAATTTCTGACAGAAGGTGGTGTTAGTCAGTGGTCCCCAACCTTTTTGGGGATTTTGCCCCCTAAAAATGAAGCAACATCTACTTGTGAACTCTCATTAGAGGTCATGTGAGCAGAGATTTCTCCCTCTCGGTTTTGTCTCATTTTAAGGACATTTTGAGGCCAGAAGAGGTGAAAATACCAACTTAAGGATTTTAGAGGCATAAAGAAGTAAATACGTAAATGAAACAAAACTAAGAAAAGAAACTTAAGAAAAACAAAAGTTTTCTGACACCTCAGATTTATATCGGGACCACTTGTGGGGTCCCAACACCAAGGTTGGGAACCACTGGTGAAGGTTATATCAGTGAATTGACGTCGCTCAGACAGGAAGTCCTGTGTGCTGCAGTGTGAACCCGTAACCAATAAAGCGTAATCAAATAAATGTCTTCTCAGATGCGACTCTGAACGAGGCCGCTCAGATCCTGCGCCTGCTGCACATCGAGGAGCTGAGGGAGCTCCAGACCAAGATCAACGAGGCCATCGTTGCCGTTCAGTCCATCATAGCCAACCCCAAGACAGACCACAGGCTGGGCAAGGTCGGCAGATGAGAGCGAGGATGAAGAGGGACGCTGGAGGAATGAAGGGAGGGACTGAACCACATGAGTTTAATTGATTTTGAGAGGAAAAGCCTTTTTGTTTTTGGAGAATTGGACATAAATAAGTTTGTATTTTTCCGTTGTTGCATGAGAGCACACTTTTCGAATTTGGAGGAAAGTGGAGGAAATGCCAAGTTTTCAAATGCTGTCTTTCATTTTTGTACTGCAGCATGGATATGTTTACACCAAAATGTCACAATAGTTGCTGAATAGTTAGTATTGAAAACTAATTTCCACTCATGTTTAGTCCTTAATTTCTTCAGAGACTTGAGTTGAACCTTCTGCCACAATCTCCCCCTCAACAGAAACCAGATAAGCTTCTGAAATACTCAAACTGACGCCGATATTTGTACTTTTTGTCTTACAGAGAAAACATTTTTTTTGCAGATGGAAGAAAAGCTTATTTTGAAATGATTTAAAGTGACGCTGTGTGGGAAAATATATAACTACAGCTGAACAGAGTCCTGTGCTTTCTTGTGTGTTGGATGTTGTTTGATGAAACGCATCTTAAAGGAGCATCAACACAATAACCTTCAAGTACCAAATCACATTTTATTGTTATAAATATCACATCTTATAAAAAGATAAAGATTTGAAAAGTAGAAGATGTAAAAATATTTGGCAAAAAAAAAAAGAATAACATTTCATCTTGTGTGAAATACAGATTCGTAGTGCAGAGAAATATGGCAGGACTGAAGTCGCTGTGATCTGACTGTGGCACGCAGAGCCGACGGAAACACATTTTAAAGTAAAACAAGCAAAACTGAGTCAGTTTGTCCTCAGTTGTTCTTATAGTTTGACATTTTTGGGAATATTGTTTTCTTGCTGAGAGTTACATGAAAAGACCGACACCACTCTACAGCCGGGTAACGATTAGCTTAGCCTAGCATAGTGGCTGAAAGCAGGGGGAAACAGCTAGCCTGGCTACCTGCCCAGAATTGACCACTAACTCCCCTTAAAAACAAAATTGTATCTACTTTCCACTTTCTGCACGTATTAAACAAGATATGACGTGTTTGTGAGCTTTAGAAGGGCTGGTAGCTTTTTGGATGGAGCCAAGCTTGCTGTTTTCTAACTGTTAAAGCTAACCGTCACTTTGCTCTAACTTCATATGTAACATACAGACATGAGAGTGGCATCAGTGTTCTCATCTCTCATTCTCAACTATTCCTGTTTTCTGTCCAGAATCCACCCTGAATGCTAAATAATACAATTTAAAAGCCAGTGTGGCCGGCTGACCCAAAAAGAAACTTTTTTAAAGCTCTTCATGTCATTCTTCTTTGGCTTTAAACAACAGAAAAACCTACAATCACATACATTTACAAATCTGATTTCATTGTTCTGTAGCTTTAATAGATAGAAAAACAACTCACGTACAAAAATACAGTAGAAAAAAAAACAAAAAAAACTAAAAATGAGGTATAAAACAAATTTACAAAACATTTATTTTGGGGTTATATCTTTATGGTGAGATAACGGGGTTGGGGTCGGGTGAGTGGAAGGGTTGTAAATTTGCTCTGACGGTCGATCTGGCAACAGGAAGCCATCTTGCTCCCTACTGAGCGTCCTTTCCTCTGAGGGACACTGGAGAGGGCGCTCTTTAGGCTGGTCCCGCCCTCTGATCAGGAATCGCCCCAGAACTTTAGCACCAAAAGGACCCCGCGGCTGCCAGTCCGTCGTTAGTGGCTCCCTGAGAGAAATCAGAAAGTTAGAACACAAAATGCCTCCTTTTTTATGACTTTGACACGTTTTTAAATTCTAGCGCAGGTACGAACCTCCTCTTTTCTTTAAGTTTATAGCTCCGGGAGGAAATGAGTTAAAGCTCTGATTCTCTCTTCCTGTGAGAATCCAAATGTGACAGGCTGAAAAGCTTAAGTGCTGCAGCGGCCTGATGACAGAACAAACAGACCCTCCGTCCTGAACAAAGCCCTACACTTAACAACCTGTGGCGGCTGAGAATTATCTCCGTAAAGAGCATGTGCAAGTGTGTGTTCTCCTATTCAACAATAACAGCTTTTAAGCCTCTTACAAGTGTGTTTTAGAGCTGTCATCATGGTCAGAATTACACCACACATCCACATCTTTGAAGCAAAGCGGCTGTTATTGCGTCTGCGGCTTTAGAGAGTGTTAGAGGACGGGTGGATGTGACATTCACGGCGACGCAAATGAGTAATCTCCATCATTCTGACACATTTGAGCGTCGGACGTGCAAACTTTTCCGTCGTGACCAGATTTTACACTCTCTGCAGATGTGTGTAGCTTTGACGACGACATCTGCCAAGGTGCTACTTTAGGGATTATCCTGTGCTCAGAGGGATACTTTGTACTTTAAAAGCTGTTCTAACGCGAGGCTTTGAAAGGACTCGAAGCCATCTGCAGACATCAACACATCAAACATGACACACACAAACACAGGGCACAAGTAGAGGGTCCCAAACAGCTGTGTAATCATTGTCCTTGTGTCTACTTCATGAGTGTGTGTGTGAAGTCACCACACACAGGTAAAGGTGTGGAGTAAAGGCTGTAAGCCAGCTGTGTGATCTCTGTTTCTGGTGCAGGGCGATGAAACACAAACTTTGGTTTCTTCTTACAATAAAAGTCACATTTGTTTGAATTTGTTTGTGAGTTGAATCCAGCTGATTCTGGAGTTTTCTTTCCGATCAGGCTCGATATACGCCCCAATATTCTAGTAACTATTTACTTTATATTGATATTCGATATATATACAGTTTTTAAAGCGGTATATTTGGCATTTTAGTGGTACTGTTTAATGACTGTGTCTTCATATATATATAATATGGTAATTCTCACTTGATTCAAGTGTTTTAAGGAAAACAAACATTTAAAGATGCCCTCAGCTATGTTTTATGACACATAAATATTGTTTGCTTTTAACACTTATAAGTGTTTGATATGTAATTACCACATTAAAAACTTTGCATACATGTTGTAGGATATATGAAACACGGGATAACGGGTTAACATGCTGCTGTGTAGACATTGTGTAAGAAGACATTGTGTAAGAAGTTCATATATCCCGTGTTTCCATTGGACTTGAATGCAGCATCTCCTCAACTGAGTGAAGTTAACTGTCTCTTCTGCCTTCGGGGGGTTAAAGTGACATCTGGTGGGAGCTGAGTGATGACATCACTGCACACAAACCAATGAGCTCACTGTCTGGTACACCTTGAAGACTGTGTGTGTGTGTGTGTGTGGTGTGTGTGTGCCGTGGTGGTGTGTGTGTTGGTGTGCGTGTGCGGTGTGTGTGTGTGTGTGTGTGTGCGTCGTGTGTGTGCGTGTGTGTGTGTGCGTGTGTGTGTGTATGCGTTTGTGCTGATGTCATACACACATATCTTACCTGATAGACAGTGGCTGGTTGCTTATGGCGATTGGCCGTTACAGTGGGAGCGGCTGCTATTCAAGGCAGGTATTCGTCAGCTGAACTGTTTGCTTTGCTCACAGCGATCACTCCATCCCCCTATGAGGCAGCAGACCAGAGAGACGGAGGCGTCAGGAAGGCAGCGAGTTAAGGTTACGTACTGATCAGCTCATTGATTAGTGATGATCAGTAATTTAATTAAAGACAACAGGGGTGTCAAGTCACTGCTTAGTTAAACAGAATTGGTGAAATAGGAGGAGGGCTACCTCCTCCATCAAGTGTAGTCTAGAAGTGGTCCCTGTAGTAGACCATGCCTGAACGGGTGTTGAGGCTGGGGTGGATCACTCTGCGGCCTGAACCGTCCGGAGAGACACACTCCAGACGCTTTGTGCCTGACGAACACAGGAACACACAAAGATGGATCAATATTATCTTAAGTGTACTGCTATTTGAACACAAAGTGGATTACTGGAGCAGCAATACCAAAATGTACATAAGTTAAAATCTCTCTCTAATTACTAAGTAGCTATGCTTCAGATAAATGTAGTGGAGTCAAAAGTACAATATTTACCTCTGAAATGTAGAAAAAGGAGTGTTAGTAGGTGTATAAATGGTCAGTTTAGTTGTGGTATTAACAGTAGTACCCAAAACATTTAGATCAATTATAAAACTGGTTATTGTGCTTTTCATAATAATGATAATGTTACTTATAATAACATATAGTGTCCTAACAGATTATATTATATTCATGTTGTAGTTGTGTTCATGTGTAATATTTAATTTTATTCATCTACAATGCAAACATCTTAATGAACTGTCAATAAAAACACAGATTAAATAATATTGTACAGGTGACTGTACTGTTTTAGCCTGCAGATCTTTCAAAATATGACCCCCTTCCCCAGTGGAAACGACTGGCCGTAATGCCATTAAGCAGCTGACCAGCGGTCACGTTGACAGAGGAAGAAGTCGCCGCAGTGTTTACCTGCATCGGCCCAGCAGACCAGTCCTGCAGACGAGTCATACGTGAGAGCGTTTGGCAGTCCAATCCCGTCAGACACCACCACCTTGCGGTTCTGACCGTCCACTGTCGAACTCTCAATCTTAGGAGCCTCCCGGTTCCAGTCTGTCCAAAACAGAGTTCTGCAGAGAGAGAAACAGGAGTTATGGCACTTAAACTCCATCCTGCCAATTATTTAACTCTCTCTCGGCTGGATGTTGTCGCTGTGTCGACCACTACAGGCTGAGGGGACGGCTGTGTTTGTGCATGGACTTTGTTTTGGTACTGGGATCATCTGGCTAATATAAAGAGACATGAAGAAAACCACACACATGAGCGGGTACATAAAAGGTACAAGAGCACAGGCCTCGAGGGACCAGCTGTCTCATGCTGATGAGGTCACAATCAGGTTACTCTGAGCAACGTGCGACCTTTGACCCCAGCTCTCCCTGTGCATTTCTTCTGCGTGTTTCATCTGTATACACCAGAAAATATGGACCACACTGGCGAACACAAATAGCCACATTTTTCAGTTTTGAATAAACTCCTTCCTTCATATTTCTCAGAGATTTGTTTTTGTGGTCAGTTAAATCATATTTTATTGTCTGCAACATTTCAAAAAACACCCAAATGTTTGCTCAGCAGGATGATAGCGGAGCTTTAGGCGGAGAGTGTGTGGGCTGTTTTTCATGATGGTGTACATGTGGACAGTCCACTGGGAACGACAAGTAATACACACCACATGAGCAATCAACTGACACACACACACACACACACACACACCATGTGTTTACGAGTGTGTACGTTAATCAGTTTGATGAACGTATGGGCGAGCAGATGTTTGTGTACGAGACATTCATACATGTGTGCATGCTTTTATAACGTGTGTGTGTGTGTGTGTGTGTGTGTGTGAGGGCAACATGTGCAGGCTCAGAAATCACAGAGCACATGCTTAATCATAAGTGTACCCGTGTGAAGCTGTAATTACCTTTAGGACTTGGCTTTTTGTCAGAACACACACACACACACAAACTTGGCTCAGTCAAAAAATAAACTTTAAACTGTCAAACCAATAAGGAAACACAACATTTAAGGTTTTTATGATTTGATTAATTGCCTGATATGTGTAATCTGC